GTCATGGATGTGCCCCTCTCGGCCATGGGCGCGCCCCTCTCGGCGATGGACGCGCCCTTCTCGGTCATGAGCGCGCCTCTCTCGGCAATGGACGCGCCCCTCTCGGCTATGAGCTCGCCCCTCTCGGCTATGAGCTCGCCCCTCTCGGTCATGGGCGCGCCCCTCTCGGTGGTGGACGCGCCCGGCTCGATGATGAGCTGGGTCCTCTCAGCACCCAACCCCTCGGCCAAGCCAAAGGCTTTCGCCTGCTCTTCTAGCCACTCCGAGGTCTCCGAGTCCATCCCACCGACCAGAGAGGTGAAGTACTGGATGTGGGACAGCACGCCCTGCATCTGGCTGTCCATGGTCCTTAACTGCCGGTCGAGGTCCTGGACCTGCCCGTCCAGGTTCTGGACCTGCCCGCCCAGGCCCTTCACCTGGCTCTCCAGCACCACGGACGGAACCCTGGTCACGCTGCTCCTCCGCCTCTCCTTGGACACAGCGACCTGCGGGGTGCTGATCGAGCCCCGCGGGGTGCTGAGCGAGACCCGCGCGATCGCTGAGAGCCTCCGCTCAGACAGGGGCTGGTAGTCCACCCGGGTGTCCTGCATGTTGAGGTTCTTGAGCAGGGCCACGAGGAGCGTGTGGAGAGCATTGAAGTTGACGGCACCCACCTCCGGAGTGCCGATGGCCAGGTCGGCCAGCTCCCGGAGGGTGACCAAGCCTGCGGGCGGCATCGTGTGCAGCCTCAGGTGCGCTCAGCTTCGGCAGCCAGACGGTTGGCCATGCCCCCCTCACTGCTCGCGCCTCTGAGGAGTCCCGGGGCGCCCTGCCCCTGGGCCCAGCCGCACTGGACACCAGCCATCATCAGGAGCCTGCCTGGAGGTTGGAGAGGAGCGCCCGCCTCCCGGGCGGGGTGGGGGCGCCACCAACGTCTGCTGACCGGTCCGTCTCTGCTGGAGCCCAGGGCTGCCCTCCCCTCGGGAGGGTGTCGGTGGACGTTTGGAACGGGCGGCGGGGTCCGCCCCGTTGTGTGGTTCCGCGCGCGGAAGAACGCACGCGCTGCGCGAGGGGTGAGGGGCGGACGCGGGGACGCGCGGACGCGCGGCGCCTGTCGGGACCTGCCCGCGCACTGGGGGAGCCTTTCCCGTGGGAATCTGGGGGAGACTTGGCTGCCACACTCCAAGGCGCCACTCATTTTTATTCTCCGTGAGCGCTCCCAAGGGAAGGTGGCGAGGGACTGTCGCAGGCACTTTTCCAGGGAGCACACACTGGCGTGGGGAGGGGAGGCCTCCGAAGGCGCACCCGATACCAGCCTCCCTGACCCAGAAAGGCCCAGGACTCACTCACTCTGCCTTATGCCGAGTGTCCTTCGGGCTCCATTACGCAGAGCAGCGGCACAAACTTAGGGCGCGGTCCTGCGTCCTTGGCCCCTTGGGGACAGTTCCCCTCTCATTTTGCACAACCGGAAGGAAGGAGAACAGAAAAGACCACTCACCACCCATGTGTCTCAATCACTCGCCAGGTGACGGGCCTTTTCTGCTGCCGAATTAGACCTTGTTGGTGCTCCCTGACCTCAGAACACACACAGCGGGCAGGTGCCAGCATTGCAGCTCGTTGCCAGGCAGGATGGCACCACCATGGACCAAGGTGGTGTCTGGACAAGTGAAGCTCCCCCGCCCGGTGCCAGGTTCCTGCAGACGGCGCTGTGACGTCAGGAAAGCGGAAGCAAGCCTGCGGATGCATCTGCACGTACTATTTTAACTGCTTTCACATTCAAGGTTTTAGTTTAATCTGAGCTGGTACAACGTAATTGAAACCCTTTATGGACACCCCCTTCCCCCACCCCCCACAAAAGCAGTGTTCCCTGGAAATGGAGTTAAAGACAAGTCTAGCCCTGGCAGTTTTGCTCAGTGGTTAGAGCGTCGACCCGCAGACTGAAGGGTCTGGGATTTGATCCCTGATCAAGGGTGTGAGCCTTAGTTGCAGGTTTGATCTTTGGCCCCGATTGGGGCATGTGCACCAGTCCATGCGTCTCTCTCAGATCGTATTTCTCTCTCTCTCCCCCTTTCACTCTATTTAAAAATCAATGGGAAAAAATATCCTAAGGTGAGGATTTAAAAAAAAAAAAAATCAATGAAACAAACACGAGTCTGTAACTCCACCACGGACTGTTCGCCGTTCTATTCTCAGAGCCTGGCACACAGGCCTGCAGGTGGTGGTTGGTATTTTCAAAAGAACAAACTCTTTGCACGCTCATGCGCTCACCTTAGGGAACTTAAGGCCAGATCACAAAGCCACAGCCTTGGGATCAGGCCTGGCCGCACTGGAAGCTGCGGTGCGTGCGCTCTCTCCATCCCCAGCTCAGTGACTTTCCGCAAGACTGTTACTGCTACTTCACTAGCCACGGCTGGAACCTCAGCTCCCTGACTCCTCCTGTTTTCATCTTAAAATATATTTTTAATGATTTCAGAGAGGGAGATAGAAACATCAATGAGGAGAATCACTCATCAGCTGCATCGCTTGGCTGCCTCCTGCACGCCCCCTACTGGGGACCAAGCCATGTGCCCTGACTGGGAATGGACTGTGACTTCCTAGTTCATAGGCCCATGCTCAAACCACTGAGCCACACCAGCCGGGCCCGTTTCCATGTTCATCCGAGACTTGGTATCATGCCAGGCACATGAGGACTTTCTGCCAGTGGAAAGGGCATATTCTAATATGTCCTCATTCTAATCCCAGGAAATACATTCTACTGAATGCTTTCACTAAGTACATGCACTTGGGGAAATATTAAATGGAGGTATAAATGGAACTTGGTTGAAAGGACCTTTGCTTTCAATTCCAAACCTCTTTATACTGCGGACGACAGAGGCCCAGGAAGGACGAGCCGCCTGGCTGAGCTGGGAGCCAGGTCTCCTGAGGAAGCCTGTGGCTCTTCCCCTGCCCGCGCTCCTCATTTCATAGTTCAGTTCTTTGCTCAAAATGCCCCAACTTGGCCTCGTAACAGCAGCAACCTATTTGTACGCTTGAAAAGCTAACGGGCTCAAAGTCTTGCCTGCAGGCTAGAAACTTTTCTAGTCCTTAGGGAAGGGATAAAAATGTCACCGAGCACGGCCGGCGTGGCTCAGTGGTTGAGCATTGACCTATGAACCAGGAGGTCATGGTTCGATTCCCAGTCAGGGCCTGGGTTATGGGCTCGATCCCCAGTGGGGGACGTCCAGGAGGCAGCCGAGCAATGATTTTCTTTCATCATTGATGTTTCTCTCTCTCCCTCTTCCTTCCTCTCTGAAATAATAAAAATGTGTATATATAACTCATTTTCTAAGGGTCTTCTGAGCCCTGATGATGTAAGAGTCTTGACTTTTTTTTTTAAATATATTATATTGATTTTTTACAGAGAGGAAGGGAGAGGGATAGATAGTTAGAAACATCAATGAGAGAGAAACATCGATCAGCTGCCTCCTGCACACTCCCTACTGGGGATGTGCCCGCAACCAAGGTATATGCCCTTGACCGGAATCGAACCTGGGACCCTTGAGTCCGCAGGCCGATGCTCTATCCACTGAGCCAAACCGGTTAGGGCAAAAATGTATATATATTTTAAAAAGTCAACAAAACTTCCCTGCAGAGAAACACAACTGTACAAAATGTGCAAATTGGCCTTTATTGTCTCCGAGGAACTACCAGACCCAATAAGCAATTCCGGGTCACAGCCGGGCAGACACCCTCCTTCCCATCACTACACTCGGCCCTGACCCGGATCAGACCAGAAGGGTGGAAAGTTTACACCACACGGCAGCAAGGTCCCCTTGACAAACGGGTGCAAGTCAGGGTTCTGACTGTGTAAGTTTAAATGTTGGGTAGAAAGGCCAAGTGCAGTCCTAAGTGATTCAATAAGTGATTCACCTCCAACTGGGAAACGTACAATTAGTTGTTTTACAAATTTAGATCTTAACCCTATTACTCAACGAGGATCTCACTCCAATGGGTGGAAGGACAGGACCTGCAAAGGCTGCGGCCTGGGACTGGGACCACCACGGACCCCCCCCTTTACTGTATCCCTCGTCTCCTGCAGAGTCTGGACCCAGTTAGTCACCAGGAGGCACGACAGTGAGTGGCTGTGCCACGGCGTGAAGAGCCTTTCATTTGCAACTGAAGCGCAAGGCACACACCAGAGAGGGCGCTATTCTGACCTGCGTCCTGATGGGGAGCAACATTCCGCCGCCCGACTGCTCACTGGCTGCAGACACAGCAGTTTCTCCAGGAAAACGCAATTCTCTCCAGAAGGTTCACCTGCGCTTGCCTAAGGCGAGGACAATTGGAGGACAACTGGCTTCCCTCCCCGGGCTGAACATGACACGCATTTCCCTGCGGCTGAAACAACTGAATGAACGTTCTAGAGTGAAAACTGCCTGTGGTGAGTCCTGTCAACACCGTAAGGCTTTCTGGTTCTTCTCAGGAAAGTGCCGGTAGCTTTCCTTTAAGGAACAGGAGGGTGAGGGCACACATTTAAGGCCATTTATCCATGAGCTTTGTCTCCCTCTCGACTATTTTAATGCTTCCCACCGACCACACTTGGCGGGAGTCGATCCGACTCCCTTGAAAGGAAACACCAGGTACATAATTGATGGCACTGTTTTGCTCAGGAGTCCCAGGCCAAGGCCACCGTGAAAGCTAGTCGTCCACAGTGATGTTCCGGAAAAGGTAGGCCATGGACTCCCCGTTGTGGATCCTGCGGATGGCTTCAGAGAGAATGAGGCTGATGTCCACCGTCTTGATCTTGGGGCACTGCAGCTTCTGCACCTCGTGAGGGACGGTGTTGGTCACCACCACCTGGTCATGGCAACACGGAGAACAAGCATTGTAACCGCCGTGCCCCCCGTGGTCACTCGGAAAAGTTTATCCAACATTTAGTAGCCCCAGCCCCAGTCCCAACCCACAGAACCTTACTCTGCTGAGTCTGGTTTCTACAAACGGACTAACCGACTTCACACAGGAGAGGTTTCGTGGTTCAGAACGTAAGATTCTGAGCGCCACGGGCTGGTGTGCAGAAGTGACAGGGTGAGGCCCTGCGCTGAGCCCAGAGAAATGCTACTTGGGCATCAAACCATATGGAAGTACGAATTACACTGAAGTACACAGACGCTGCCAGGACAGGCCTCTGGAGAGGGTCGGCAACACTGAGCGAGTCCCTCCATTACTCACAGCAAGGCAGCAGGCCTGGGCCTAAGCTAAGTGTTGGAGCCCCGCAGACAGACAGACCTCGTCGATGGAGGACTCCTCGATCAGGCGGGGGGCCTCCGCGGACAGGATGCCGTGCGTGGCCATGACGTAGATCTTGTAGGCGCCTCTCTCCTTCAGGATCTCTGCAGCAGCAACGAAACTTTCCACGTCATCAATGATGTCGTCCTGAGAAGAGATGGGGGGAGGAGCTCCCGGGGCCGCCTGGGAACACTCTGCCCTTCCCTGCACCCGCTGCAGAGGACGCGAGTCACAAGCAGAGCCATCCACCCGGTCAGAGGTCGCACACCCAGCAACGGCAACAGGACTGCGCGGACTGCACTTTGCGTGGCTGTCGGTGCAAAGAGCAACGCCTTCCAGTCACAAGTGACATTTACAGCCGGAGTTTATGACCCCTAGGGCTCATTTCCGGTGTCAAATGTCAGATCAACCTACACAGCCAGTGCCCCATGCACTTTCCTGAGAAAGGGGGGGGGGGGGGGGGGGGGCACACAGAAAGTGAGCCACTGCAAAGGACCATCCTCTGGCCCAGCAAAGGCATTTAGAGCTGGGAGCACATAGAACACTTGCTCTCTAGTGAAAATGGAACAGCTCTGCCCGGCTGGCATGGCTCAGTGGCTGAGCATCAACCTATGTACGAACCGGGAGGTCACAATTCAATTCCCAGTCAGGGCATGTGCCCAGATCTCAGGCTCGATCCCTAGTGGGGGGCACGCAGGGGGCGGCCAATCAATGATTCTCTCTCATTGATGTTTTTCTCTCTCTCCCTCTTCCTTCCTCTCTGAAATCAATACAGATATATATTTTAAAAAATGGAACGGCTCCTCCTAGTTCACCTCTCCGCCCTAAAGTTTAAGGTGGAGGGTGTTAGCTGCTTGGATGGGACTTACAGCTTAAGACAAAGGTCACTTATGGGGGTGCACTTTCTTATGGGAGTTACCAAGCTCTCCTTACAGCTGTCGGTTATAAAAATTCCTGTTCATCTACATAAAAATCTCTCCTTATCCTAAGGGGTTTGGGTGAGAAAGGAAAGACGGATCCATTTAACTCCATCATCGTTACTGGAAATACAACCCAAAGTGAAAGAAGCTACTGAAAGCCAGAGGTGCCCGCTCCGCCCAGGAGACGCACGGACATACCACTATGATGGCGATCCTCCCGCCAACGTCTCCGACCACGGTGATCGGTGGCTTCTCTTTGGCCATCATCACTAGCAAAACGACACAAATGACAAGACCCAGTTAGTCATGCATCACTAAGTAACTGTGATCACAGCCAATCTCACCCTCTGGAAGTGGTGGCAAAACCACTGTAGACAAAAAAAAAAAGAAAGCAGATTCCTCTTCAAGGAGCCAGGGTCTCTCAGAAACCGCCTGTCTAGAGCACGTTGTCCGACAGAAACGGACGATGAGCCCCACTGGCAGGGCTCAGGGGTTGAGCATCAACCTATGAACCAGGAGGTCATGGTTTGATTCTCAGTCAGGGTACATGCCCGGGTTGCGGGCTCACTTCCCAGTGAGGGGCACGCAGGAGGGAGCCAATCAATGATTCTCTCTCATCATTGATGTTTCCATCTCTTTTTTCCTCTCCCTTCCTCTTTTTAAAAAAGAAAAGAAACAGACGGTGAGACATATAATTTTACATTTCCTAGTAGCCACATTAAAAAGTAAAATCACATAGGTGAAATGAATAGATTTTATTTTACCCAATACAGCCAAAATATTATTTCAATATGTAATCAATATGCAAATTTATTAGAAATGTTTTACATGGTTTTCATACTAAGTCTTCGGAATTTGGTGTGCATATTACACACAGCGCTTCCCAGCTGAGACCAGCCATGTGAGCCTGGCAGCCACCGTCCGGCTGGCACAGGTGTGGACGGAGCAGCAAGGCGAGAAGAGCCAGCAGCGCCCACCACTCCCGAGAAACGCCCGCCTGAGACGGGCGGAGAAACGTGAAACGAATGCCACTCCGCAGAAAACCACCCCGGGAAAGGCTGGCGTTCGTTTTCTTCCCAGATGACCTTCACTGGACAATGTGACCTGATTAACACGAATGACATCATCAGAGTTTCCTGAAAATCAGGAACTTGAGAACAATAACTACGAGTCCACCACGTTTCCGGGTTTAATTAGTCCTCAGAGTAGAGGCTTCTAATCTCACTGCGAAACCCTCCCTGGAAAGGCCATCAGTGCACAGAGCAAACGGAGGACAGACACAGCGGAGCGACGAGAACTCGCCCTTAAAGAGCTAGTCCCCGGGGGAGAAGGAATGTGTCTTGCAAGGACAGGCCGGGACCCTACGCTTTAGAAAGCTGTTTACTATTCTGAAACATTTCTTAGGCTCGTAGTGGGAGAGGGGAAAGAATGAAATTCAGGGCGATTATGCCGTTGAGTAGTTATCAGCCATTTGGTAATTACCCGCCCAGTTTAGCTGATCCCTCCTATGGGCACTGTAACCCTCAACGAACAGGGTTGTGCCTTTCTCCCAGCAAACTAGCCGAGGTGAATTCAGCACTATTTTACTGGCCAATTTCAGACGCTTCCTGCTTCCCCCTCCCAGCCACAAGGGCAGTGTCTTGCATTTGGACAGTGAGAAAGGCTCTGTATATAAACCTCACCCAAGGGAAGAAACTAAATCGCCGTTAGGAAAGGCCTCCTCAAATCCTGTCTTTAATGAAGCTTACCGCCCCTTAGAGAGAGGTGGTCCCTTTTCTTGACTAAAAAAAGGAAAAGGTTGCGAGCCAGGATCCCTCATCAAAGACCAACAGAGAATCAGCTCCAGTCTGAGGCAGAAAACCGGCCGTGGCGCTCGGTTCGCGGCTCTCTGACCCGCCTCCCCCCCAGCACCTGTCCGTCTGAAACGAGGAAGAGCTCAGCGAGGAGACTTAGCTTCCCAGGGCTTTGAAAAGCAAGCCCGGCTCCCAGATGCCCACTCCTTGCGCATAACGAGCTAAACCTGACACATAACTGATGTCTCCTACAAACAGAGACAAGCTTTCTGCAGGGTCCACAGGAAAAATAGCGCCTGGCAGGCTTAAAAAAAACAAGCCCGATTTTTTCCCAACAGCTTGCCCAGAAAATAAAATACCAAACATTTAAAATTTCAGCCCGGCTGGCGTGGCTCAGGGGTTGAGCGTCGACCTATGAACCAGGAGGTCATGGTTCAATTTCCAGTCAGAGCACATGCCCGGGTTGCGGGCTCAATCCCCAGTGTGGGGCGTGCAGGAGGCAGCCGATCCATGATTCTCTCTCATCATTGGTGTTTCTATGTCTCTCTGCCTCTCCCTTCCTCTCTGAAATCAATAAATTAAAAACAATTTTTTTTTAAATTAAAATTTCAGTAAAAGTAATGTACTGTGAAGACAGGGGATAAAGGGTGCTTCCACTACCCTACGATGAGGAGGATTCTGCTCTCCGCCCTGGCCGGTTTGGCTTGCAGCGGTTCTCAACCTGTGGGTCTCGACCCCTTTGGCGGTGGAACGCTTTCACAGGAAATTAAAAACAATTTTTTTTTAAATTAAAATTTCAGTAAAAGTAATGTACTGTGAAGACAGGGGATAAAGGGTGCTTCCACCACCCTACGATTAGGATTCTGCTCTCCGCCCTGGCCGGTTTGGCTTGCAGCGGTTCTCAACCTGTGGGTCTCGACCCCTTTGGCGGCCGAACGACCCTTTCACAGGGGTCGCCTAAGACCATCCTGCATATCAGAAATTCACATGACAATTCATAACAGTAGCAACATTACAGTTATGAAGTAGCAACGAAAATAATTTTATGGTTGGGTCACAACATGAAGAACTGTATTTAAAGGGCCAGAAGGTTGAGAACCACTGGTAGGGGATGCAGCCGTGGGCAAACTACGGCCTGCAGGCCGGATCCGGCCCGTTTGAAATGAATAAAACTAAAAAAAAAAAGACCGTACCCTTTTATGTAATGATGTTTACTTTGAATTTATATTAGTTCACACAAACACTTCATCCATGCTTTTGTTCCGGCCCTCCGGTCCAGTTTAAGAACCCATTGTGGCCCTCGAGTCAAAAAGTTTGCCCACCCCTGGGATAGAGCGTCGGCCCGCAGACTGAAGGATGCTGGGTTCAATTCCAGTCAAAGGCACATACCTCGGTTGCAGGCTCCATATCGGCCCTGGTTGGAGTGCGTGCAGGAGGCAACCAATCAATGTGTCTCTCTCACACAGATGTTTATCTTTCTCTCTCTCCCCCTCCCTTCCACTCTCTCTAAAAATCAATGGAAAAATATCCTTGGGTGAGGATTAATAAAAAATAAAATGAAAACATTCTTTAAAAAAATAGTAGCAATGAATTAGATTGTAACACACTGAATAAAGTAGGACTCTATGAATCCATATGATACAAAGGAATGAGCCAGGAGGGAGAGGGGGAACTGGGAAGATGACCATTTGTCAACAACCACAGGAACAAGTAATCACGAGGAAACAACATGCCCAATTAAGGAATATTCTACCGAGCACCTGGCCTGTGCTCTTCAGGAGAACCAAGGTCACGAGAGACAAGAACAGGTGCGTTCTAGACGAACTGAGACTAACGGGAAGTGACGATGGAGTGCAGCGTGTCACCTCTACTGGGTGCTAGTCCAGAGAAAGGTGTTCTCTTTTGTTCTAAAGGACACTGGTTGGACGACTGATAAAATCTGAATAAGGTCTGAAGATTGGACAATAGAATGAAAACGAGGTTCGTTTCCTGAGGCTGGTCATTATAAACATTAGAACGCTGACACCTCCGACAGGAGCCTGTCTGAAATAACCTAGGTGTGAGCATTCTACAGCCACCTGCTAATGTCTGTCTGTTTCTGAGGCATGGCGAATGGATACACATTTTTAAAAATAATAAACTCCTTCCTCAGATATAAGAAGCATAAGACACCTTCCAGTTGAGAATGCTGGTTATTGCCACTCAAAAGTTCCATGGAAACACACACCTCCACTCTGCTTGGTCAGTTACAGTCTGTCAGTCACCAGGTCATCAGCTCTATTACTAACTCGGGGCGAAAGCGCCCGATCACCAAAGCCTGGTATCTGACCAGCGTGGCCATCGCCCATCGCCCATCGCCCGAGATAGAAAGCTTAGGCTTCAGAGCGTCACACATACAACTGTTCTACTAAAGCTGAAATGATCTCACCCTCTCGCAATTGTCTTACACAGCCCGCAAATGTGTACAACAACCTCCTTTCACAAAAGGCAAAATCAATGCAAAACCATCACCATAGTTATTTAAGATACCAAGACGGCAAGTCCACATCAGTATTAATTCCTAGCCATTCATGTCATCCAAGACTTTCTTCAGTTTCCAAATAAAGTAAGAAATAGAGCTAATCTTACACGGCAGCTCCAGGCCGGGGTGGACCGTGGCGTTTTTGACCATTGGGGGAGAGTGGCGGCCGTCGTCCATGTCCAGCTCGGTGCACTGAGCCTCCCCGTGGATCACAGCCAAGCCCAGACGGAGTCTCTCAGCATATGACTGGGCCCTAAGAGAAACACGAGGGAGGTGGGGGACTTCTGGGAAGAAAACCCGAGCATCACTATTCCATCATTTTATTAATCACAAAATGAAAGTAACATTCCACCTCTTAGGGACACACAGGGAATTATGTATACAAACCAGATGTGGGCCCAGGCCAAAGAGTAAAAGCCTCCAGAGGCCTGTGAGCCGAGATGTGGACGAATATCTGCTTCTAGATCATTTTGGTTCTAGCCTTTGTCCAATAACCTAACTCTTCTTCAGAAGGAAACACTTTGTTAAAAAAGGTCTCTTAAAATCACTGCTGCCCTGGCCAGTTTGGCTCAATGGATAGAGCGTCGGCCTAAGGACTGAAGGGTCCCAGGTTCAATTCCGGTCAAGGGCATGTGCCTTGGTTGCAGGCACATCCCCAGTGAGGGTTGTGCAGGAGGCAGCTGATCGATGTTTCTCTCTCATCGATGTTTCTGACTCTCTATCCCTCTCTGTAAAAAATCAATAAAAAATATATTAAAAAAAAAATCACTGCTGCCCCGCCAGTGTGGCTCAGTGGTTAAGTGTTGACCTAGGAACCAGAAGGTCACGGTTCGATTCCCGGTCAGGGCACATGCCTGGGCTGCAGGATCCATCCCCAGTCAGAGGCGTGCAGGAGGCAGCTGATCAATGATTCTCATCATTGATGTTTCTCTCTCCCTCTCCCTCCCTCTCTAAATCAATCCTATCTAATAATAGACAAAGATTGAAATTGACCGTGCCTTCGCTACACCTCCCATTGGCTAATCAGCAAGATATGCAAATTAACAGCCAACAAAGATGGCGGTTAATTTGCATATGTAGGCGGGAAGTGGCGGAGCGAAGACTGAAGGCGGCTCCAGCTGGAGCAACACCGGTTTTCCTCCAGCACCCGGGACCCAGGCCTATTGCACAAATCTTTTCGTGCAACAGGCCTCTAGTAAAAACATATTTAAAAAACAATAACCCCCTGCCTGAAAGTGCTCACAGCCCTTCTGCCTTCTTTTCCCTAAGAGTGTGAAGGAAGCACTTCATTATCAGAGATGTGGCGCGAGTCCAGGCCAATGAGCTTCCGCGGCCGCGACAGGACAGCCCCTGATCCCCAAGCAGCTCATTCTGACTTCAGAGAGCACCCCCAGGGCTTGCGTCAGTATCTGGAGTAGTTACCTTTTTGCAGCATCAGGAGACTTAGCTACAATGACTGCATTTCTGTAATTTGGAATCTAGATTTGGAGGAAAAATAAGAAAATACTGAAAAGTTATACCTGGATGCTGGTATTACATTCTTTCCTCTTATAACAACAATCCACACTAGCAATCACATATGCTAGAATTTCATTCACACATTTTAGAATTTTAACACTTATCAATTAATGTCATTGCAAAAGTACTGTTACATCAAGAAGGAAAAAAAGTAATTAATTCTTAAAACCTTCGTTTAAGAACACATAAGCCAACTGCTAAAGATACTTAGAAGGAAATCCAGATTTAGTCTCTGAACTCTATGACCCTCCATGCCTAAGTGCTGACCCTATCTGGCTGCCTCAGGATCAAGACTAAGGGGAAGGGCACGCGTGTGCCTTTCAGTGTGGAAGTCGGACACCAGAGAGCACTACATGGAGGACAGGGTGTTTGGGGCGGCTCCTCACTTCTTCCTGGATATACTGAAGCAGGAAAGGTGAGGCTCTAAGGTTGTCCACGGGAAAGCTGAAAAAGCCTTGAATTTCCTTTTGGTGAAGATCCATAGTGATAATGTGAGTTAAACCTGAAATTTTAAAACAAAGAATTACAAGTTCACCCCTGCAAGTTAATGACTACAGGGGACACACACTAGACGCCCAACTCCTGTTTCCTAACAAAAGACTGGAGGCCGGGGGTACTGTTAACAAGTACATGATTTATAGACTTTATCTGCAACCTTAACAAAATCTAACGAACTAAAGAATGTGCCCAGCCTGGCCAGTGTGGCTCAGTGGTTGAGCACTGACCTGGGCACTAAGAGGTCCCCAGTTCGATTCCTGGTCAGGGCACATGCTTGGGTTGCACAGTACCCAGTAGGGGGCGTGCAGGAGGCAGCCAATCAATGATTCTCTCTCATCATTCATGTTTCTATCTCTCTCTCCCTCTCCCTTCCTCTCTTTCTAAAAAATGTGCGCAGCCTCCTGTGAGGGCGTCTCTAACCTTCCACAAAGACAAAGCCTTGAAGCTGGGAGAAGTGCTCTCTTCTGCTGCTATTACTATTAGCTTGGTCCTCAAAAACGAGAAAAGAAAACGCAGGTAGAAGCAAAAATATGAAGATGAAATTAATAAATACTGAAGCAAAATTTGATGTAAAAATAGCAAGGCCTTGATTAAAAAGTTTAAGAAGAAATGCGAAAAGACTGTGGCGGAGGCAGAAGGAATAAGAAAGCAAAAATAAAGTAATGTACATAATTTTAAAAAAAAGAAATCATGTAATATAAAGATAAGATACTGAAGGATGTAGAACAATTTCTATCTGTCATAAAAGAACGGGCCATCAAATATTCTTATAGAAAAACAATGAAGACAGACTGATATATCAACAGGGCTAAACAAGAGGTGTATGTTTCTGAGGACTCAAATCTGTTCAATTTTTTTTCTTTTGTTAGAGTTTTAAATAAACATCACGCAAATAAAATTCCCATCATTGTAAAGTGCTATTACATTTGATTCATAGGCCAGCTAGTATGTCACTGCTACAAAAACACATCAGAATAAAAGCAAAGGAGCTGCTATACAGAAAGACACCCAGGAAGGGAACAGAGGAGTACATAAGCTGAAGAAGTAGCAAAAGAAAACCCCCGTTGAATACTACGTACATAAATAAAACGCAGCAAAAAGGCAAATACGGGAATCTAGACCTGAAACTCAGAAGGTCAGGAGTGCCCAGACTGCCAGTATAAATGTGATGAAGGTAAGATGAAACGTGAAGGAAGACGACAGAACGACGTCAAAGGCCAAGATCGGAGAAGAGTGGGAAACACTGAAAGACACTGTCACTCTAAGCCTCAGAGCGGTGATGGCGAACCTATGACACGCGTGTCATTTTTTTGGTTGATTTTTCTTTGTTAAATGGCATTTAAATATATAAAATAAATATCAAAAATATAAATCTTTGTTTTACTATGCTTGCAAATATCAAAAAATTTCTATATGTGACACGGCACCAGAGTTAAGTTAGGGTTTTTCAAAATGCTGACACGCCGAGCTCAAAAGGTTCGCCATCACTGCCTTAGAGTGACATTGAAAAAGGTAGGAACTCCTGCCTCAGCTCACCTATCCCTAACCAGCACCAAGCAAAGGAAACAAGGCATACTCAGTGAAGGCACTGGGAGAAAATGGGTCCCCACCCCCATCAGGGCGGCATGGGCTAGTCTCAGGTCGGGCGGAGTCCCAACCGGCAGCGCCGAGTCCTAACTCACCCGCTTTCGCCAGCATAGACGCCAGGAGCTTGCACACGATGGAGCCTCTCTTCCTCATCTTGCTTTGCTTGCTGTAGGGGAAGTAAGGGATGACTCCGATAATATTCCTGGCGCAGGCAGTCTTCAGTGCGTAAGCCATGATCAGGAGCTCCATCACAGCGGTGTTCACGTCTCTGAAACAGCGCAAGTTTGTGTTTGGGGATTAATTTCATCGATTCGCCCCTGGCAAGGATCTCGACCACAGCGATTTAACATAAGCGGCCCAGACGGGTGTTACAGGCATCTACCAGCGGACAACAGCTGCGAGTCCTGAAAGGCTTCTCATTTCTGACACTATCTACCGGGAGGACAGCATCAGCTCCCACAGGCTAGGGGCTCAGACCAACAAGACTGCCCCCACCACCCCATCCCCACCTGCTATGAATCAGAGGCTCCTATGACCCTCTCCTCAGGTTATGAATTTGCTAGAATGGCTCAGAAAACCCAGGAAAACTGTTTAACGTGCAAACACATTTATCATTTCAAGAACACGAAATTGTTGTTCATAGGAAACGACAATGAATTGTGTCAAAGCAGTGCTAACTCTTACCGGGGTATTGTCTGTATAATGAAAACATCTTGGCCTCGAACAGATTCTTTTATTTCAACTCTTGTTTCTGAAAAATAAAAATGCCCTGTAGCTTTAAGAAAAGCACTCCTCATACCATAGATAATTAGAGCTCAGGAAGAGAAAAGGAAGCGTGGAATCATGAATCCAGGCTTTCACCTTGAAAAAAAAGAATCCGAAATCATTGGATACTAAGTTGTCTTTGCAAGGACCAAGGGCACCTTAACCAGAAGCACACGCCCCGCCAGAAGATTTACGAGGCAGCATTCCTAGGACACTGGCCATCAGCAACGTGACCTCAACATGATCACTTAATGTTAGGGTTCCCCCGGGAAACCCAGAGGGCAGTGAAACAGGTACCAGCCTAAGTGAAAGTCTACAAGACACTTGAGAGAAAAACTGAGAGGTAAAAAGAATAGAAAGAGTTTTTTAATGTCACCATCACCTAGAACCAGATTGCTCTTTTTTTTTTAATCCTCACCCAAGGGTATTTTTCCAATGATTTTTTTAAAGAGAGAGAGTGGAAGAGAGAGGGAGAGACAGAGAGAAATATCGATGCGAGAGAAACACATCATTTGACTGCCTCCTGCAGAAGCCCCGACCAGGGCCCAAGCCCGGGAAGAGCCTGCAACCAAGGTACGTGCCCTTGACCGGAATCTACAGGCTGCCGCCCAGGTGGCTCACGATGCTGCTGATGGCCCAATGGACAGATAAAAGCAGGGAGCATCACCCGCACAGCCCAGGATAGAAGAGAGAACCGTCTACAGCTCCCCTTTTTCATCCCAAATGACAGGACACTTGCATTATCTTGGAAAAAGAGGAAAGGACACTTTAAGGAGAACAAAGGAGTGGAGATTTCAAGGAAGTACAGAATGATGACTTATCCCTCTAATGTTAGAGGAAAAT